TCAATACAAAAATGGTATACAGTACATATTATCACACATTAAATGCACTTTAAAAATAATTTAAAGCAAAATGTACAATGGCAGCAATTATACACACAGGGCCCTCAACCTTGACACACTTCTCATATAAGAAAGAACTGACGTGTTAATCTTAGAGATAAAGATTACCAAAGCAACACATGCAAAGCACTCTGTGCTCCCTGAAGGAAAGGTGATATGACTGGTAACTCAGGATCTGAAAGCTGGGCAGGGGAGGCAGCAGAAGGGAGGAATAAGGAAAAACGTACCGTGCAAATATGAGGCCAGTGTTCAAATTGTTGTAAAATTCCTTGATTAAGATCTTCTTTATATAACTCTTTGTAAAAGTGTGGAAGCTTAGATATCCAAATGCCATTGCTATGCTTGTTTAGTATTTCCTTTATGCGGTTTTGAACCTCATCCATTTTATAAGTGTAAGAGGCAGGAGGCGTGACATTTGGTTTTTCAACAGTCTGATTTAAATTATCTTTAAATTAAAAAAATAATAAAATTAACCAAAATGCTTAACATTTTAGATTATCCCCATTACCTAGCATTTGTGTTCAGGCTTTCCTATGCTATGTGCATCTTGTAGCCAAGGACTGTAGAAGGGGGAACTATAAGCTAAGCAGCACCAAGACAATTTTGTTTATTAACCCTGAAGTAACCAGAAGAATCAAGAGATCCCCAAAAAGTGAACTTAGCCTGTTAATTTTGCAAGGTTGCTTTATAGTTTAAACTTCAGAATGATCTTGCAACATCAGGAGTAATAAAGTTTATTATTTAAGCAACCATTTCCACCTGCAACTAAGGAAGGTAAAAATTTTAAATAATACGGGTTATATGCAACACTGAATTTAAAACTATAGTCCACAAAGCTTAAGAATAGTGGCATAATAATAAGACCAAAGAACATTTTACAGAAGACAAAAAGTTGTCCCGGTTCTTAGGGTATGATCATTTCCCCCTTTATAATGAAAATAATTTAGCAATATAAAGAAATTCAAAAACTGATCCAGCTACAATGATCATCTGAGCTTTAGTTTATACACATGAACAAAAGATTTGGGACTCCCATATAAGTAATATTGATTTATTTTTATTTCTCCAATATTTATCTTTTGTAAGTATACACTTACAAAGTTTTGGCTAGCTTTCTTACATTTACTTTTTACTTAAACTTAGAATGCCTGAATTCACAAAGACAAAGAAATCTTGAGTGTTCACTAAAGCTGATGGCTTTGGTATTATGAGAACTATTATTAAATTAATTCCAAACTTCCTTAAAATTCACTGGGATACAGATTGGGGTATGTTAAAAATTACCATCTACATGAAAAATGTGTCCATAATTTAATCAGATAACTCTATCTGCTAGAATTCAGTACTTTTTTGTTTTGTTTTTAATTGGCTGATAGGCATAGAGTCTGGTTTGGGAACACTGGTCTCTGAGGATGCCAGGAAGTGGAAAGGCAATTTTCATTGAGGAGTCCTGGACACTAACTGCTTTTCCCACCAGAGGGCATGAAGATGTGGCCTGGCCAGGCTTACACTGGCACAGAGAACTGAAGGATCTGGAACACCCATATGTGTTTCCTGTTAAGGGTCTTGCTAATTTATTTAGGTTCTTCCCAAACCATGAGATAACAGAACTGAGAAGGAAGAAATGATAAGGGAGAAATTAGGCTTCTGATAATTGGCCAGACTCTCCTTAATGACAGCATGTTACCAGTTGGTTTATCCTAAAGTCTGCAAATGCACCTGCTCTGTGGGGCTGCTGGAATCACCTAAGCTCTGTACCTTTCCATGAAAAAAGTTAAGGAAATAAATCTAGATTGCCAGCATGTAGGAGAGGTTGTGTATACATGTGTGCATTTCAGCTCTGGCAGGGGAATTACAATCCTGAAATAAATTCTCTCATTTTTGCAGACAAAGTTTATACGAATTTAAGCCTATAGAGTGATCTATGACTTTATTGAGTGGTCATGATTCAGAAAATGCATACATAAAGAAAAATCATATTGTTCAAAATTAACTTTTGTAAGAAATACTGGAAGAATTTCAATTCAGTAAGAATCACACTGAAAGCCACAAATTGTGTAAAATCACATTTGAATTCATATGCTATAAGCACTTATGCTGCTAGCTTGCCCTCTGGGAGAGTCTATGAGCAGGGAATTACACAGTGGTTGAAGGAGACAAGATGACGACTGGGTGAATTTCTAACCTTCAGATTCATTGACTTTGTTATGTGTTCTGGTGTTTTCTTATTTTACAACCTAAAGAATTAGGTATACTCATATTTTGATACTTAGCAGTCACTATACCCAGTTAAGGGTGCAAGCTTTTAAGCAGTGGAATATTTTAAACTCTTTTAGGAGCTTAAGTCCCACATTCATGTACTTTAAATCTAGAGCAGGGGAGTTCCTTAAAGTGAGGCCTCCAATTGCAGTCTTGAGGGCCTATCCCCTAATTAGAGAGAGGGTGGAGGTGACACGTGGACATGAAACAGTAGGCCTAATCTGAGGAAGGCCTCAAGTCAGAATTGATAATGATATCTTTAGAGATACTATTTTCTCTAAAGATCACTTTAACTTAAGATTTAAAGAAATTAGAAATAGGGGAGGAAAGACATATTCCAAGTAGGAGAAGGTGAGAACAAGGGTCAAAAAAAACACCATCAGATACTTTTCTTGGGGCGCTGAGGCTCCAGGAGTCATTATGTATGGTGAAGTTGTTTGGAACACATACCATTCACTTCCTTAGTAAAGGTTCTTGAAAGATGCATCTGAAAAGGCGGTGGAAAGGATGCCTTTGGGCTAAACCTATGGTGTAAAAGAATGTCAAGTTTTAAACACTACACTTTTCATTTAAAGTCTCTGGCATTGAACAATAAAACAAGCCATGAAAGTATTCCAAAATCAGAAAACACTAAGATGAAATCTCACATCATCTTTCCTATTTACCCAGAGAAAAGTATGTTAAAAGCTAAATTTAAACCTTGAAAGCTTGTTTCAGAACTTAGAAGTCAGAGTTTCAACTAATCACCTCTAAGAGACTAGCAAACAGAATAAATAAAGCCACACATAGAATAAACACTTAAAAATAAAGAATATTTTGGAATACAACCAGAAAACGAAGGACTTGCACCACCAGATATTGAAATGACCAACAGTTGGAAAGACAAGTAAAATATTAAGAGAGCTTAGAAACATTAAGTTTGTGTCTTAGCACATAATGAAAGTATATTTCAAAGCAGACAAGGAAGAGTTGCTTAAATATCTATTCCTAAAGGAAAAAACATAGATCCCCACCCCCATACCCTTACCAAAATAATTATAGGAAAAAGTTTACAAATTTGAAGACAAAAAAATTAAGCATACACACACATCATCTATGTCCATGTCTTCTTTCCCTGACTTGACATTAAGTGCCTTAATTATTTGTGCTCCTTATGCCTGGGAAATGTGGTACATGCAAGGGAGAGTGAATGTTACAAGAAATGATTGAATGAACACTGAATGAATTAATGACTGCATTTTGTCCTGCAATACACATTATTTCCTAATTTCTGAATAGTCTGGAACATCCTACAATTAGATTATTTGAAGCGAAGGATATTTCCTTGTAATATTTTAATTCTAAAAGAACTTATTAGATTGTGGGCTAGCTACCAATACATATTTAGTGCATGTAATTATAGGAGCATCATATGTGTACATCGACGCATGTGAATAAATAACAGAAAATGTGAAAAAATACAGTGCCTTTTCTACCAAGCTTTCTATAAAAAATTAGCTCTTCCTAAGTATTCTAGTATCTGGAGGAAAAATTCCTGGGGAAAATTTTTATCTTTACATGAAACAGAATTTTTGAACACTGATTTAAGGAGATATGATATCACAAATTTGATATGAAAAGGCACAAATTTCAAACTGCAAGGGGAAAGCATGGGCTATTGATTCATTTACATCAGGGATCAGTATATCAAACTTTAGGCTTTGCAAGGCTCTGTACCACTTAACTGTGCCACTGTGGGGAAAAGCAGCCACAGGCAATATGTAAACAGGATATGACCATGTTCCTATAAAACTGTATTTATAAAAACAGGCAGTGGGCCTGATTTGGTTCATGGATTATAGTTTGCTGACCTCTGAGATAGCTCATAAAACCATAAAGTTCAGAACCAAAAAGGAACTTTGAGGTCATCTAGTTTCACATTTTTATTGGACAAATGAGGAAACCACAGATCCAAAAGAAGAAACAATTTAATTTATTTTACCTGGCTAGTGAATGGCAGCACCAAAACTAAGACTTTTAGGATGTCTTATTACAGTCTAGTATTATCGTGAATGGATGTCTGATGCTACTGCATAATAATGGGCACGATAACTAAAGCAAAGGGGAGTGTGTAACTAGATCAGATTTTACTTAAAACTTACAAAATTACACAAACAGGTTTTCAGAAAAGTTTGCAAGTTGCACTGAAATAGCATCTTAGAAGGACTTCTAAGAGCTTTTAAAATATATTTTACAAGGAGACATTACCAATAGTGTAGAGCAAGGAGAATGAAGATATGTTCAGAGAATGACGTTCAGGCAAGCAGGGAAAGAGAACTTACTAGTAATGATGCATTTTTCTACATGTGAACTTACATTAGATACAACAGAGTCTTCCTTAAGCTGAACATACATTTTGACCATTTATTGTCCTATTTCACCAAGCTTCTCCTCTTAGTCAGATAAAGCCAAGATACCTGCTGTTGGCGGACATGGTCACATGCCTTTGCACTGCAATGTCTTTGAATACTTCATTTCCAAGAGTCATGTGTAGTGGGTAAGGTGGTATTTCAGCATCAGACTTAACTCCAAGAGCATTTCCTTTGTCTCTTAACAGTGTTGGATTAGGTTTTTTGTTGATAGAAAAATCTGAAGCAAATCCTGGTTGTCTGAGAGTTGCCTTTGGTTTTCCTGTGAAGTTGGGCATATACAATATTCAATTGGCCTCCTCAAACCATAGTTTCATTATGCCATTACTCCCTTGACCAGATGATTTCTGTGGGTCTCTCTGTAAGGACACGAGGGGCCCGTGGAGGGTGGGTGAGTAGGGAAAGAGATTGGGGAGTATTTAGCAGATGAGATTCTCCACCTGCCCAGCTACTTCCCTCTACTCACCACCTTAACACTTCTGTGGCAGCTACTGTTTGGAGGGCACCATGATCCTCCTTGTGTCTTCTCCAAACTCTACCTATAGTTTGAGGTCTGGGCTCAAGTCTCACCTCTGCTATGTAGCCCTCCACTGCCATTTTCTCTCACAAAATGTTGTTGCCTTGTCTAAAATGTTAATACTAGCATTTAGTCATCTACTGTTTTGTATTATCATTGAACTACTTCTTAAGAATTTAGTTTTAGAAATAACTGCCCCTTGAGTTAAGTATTTAGTAAACATAGGTTGAGCTGTCTATAATAGTTTTTTGTACTATATAATTCACATTTTTCTGAAAACCGAGGTCTTATATACCAAAAGACATAATTTGCTAAGTGAGACATTAAATCATGGGTTCTCAATTCATCCAACATTCTAGATGTGGCTTCTGGTCAATAACCTAAAAGAATAAAAACACACTTAAAATCTGCTGAGCTGTTTCACACTGTGTAATTGTTTCACTTTGTAAGTCCTGCTCATCATGTTCACATAATCATTTCAAATGGACATCCTAGCTTCAGGAGTTTTCTCTTACATATGGATGCTAACATAGGAATTTATCACAAATTATGGGCATATTTCCATAATTCCCATGACAGTGTATTCATGGACAGCTTCAAAATTTTAGTGTATGAAAAGCCCTACCTTCTAGGAAAAATGGCATGGTTTTTTTCACTCTCATCTGACAGTTAACTTGCCGCCCAGTTTTCCTTTTAGAGCTCCTCTGCCGAGCCACAAGCTGAGCAATCCTTGCAGTTTCTGTGCAAGCCACGGCATAGCAGGTAATCTGTTTATGAGAGGCAGAATGAGAGGACAAACATTTCTCAGAGCCAGTGCTGCCTACAAGCCAGCGTGTAAAAGCGGGTCTCAGTGAGCCTACACATCCCAAATTAAGCTGTATACAAATATTCATTTACCTCTCTCCTTGATAATGTTAGGGCAAAATTCTATTTCCTACAAAAGGAATCAAGCTTAACTAATACACTGAATTATCTTCCTCCAAACTGAAATTTTCTTTTACTTCCTAAGCAAGTATTTATTAAGCATCTGCAATGTAGTAGATATGATGGGATTAACAAAGGAACTCAAAGAAAACTGTGATCTGCCTACATTATCTCATATAATCCATGGGACAAATTTCATTCCCACTTTACACATGGAAAAGTGATGCTCAGAGAAATTAGCCAACCTTCCAAGTCACACAGCAAAGCCAGTCCTCTGAATCCAAAGTGTGTTCTTATACCTACTGTGTTTGTTACCTCTCCAAGACCTCTTACTATTTTCAGCTGTAAACAGAGGTGCTTTCATGGGGGCCTCAGGGCTCACCACTGGTAGGGGTGTGAGGACAAGGCCCAGCTTATTACCTTTGATTTAAAAATTCACATGATAGTATAGAGGATATCAGAGAAAAGATTTGAAGCATGGAGACATCTGGGATTAGATGATCTCTAAAGACCTTTTTCGTTTTCAAGACTATGACTCTAAATTGAAATCAAGAACAGGAAAACAATGAGGCTTTATACCACAGACAGAACATGTTCTGCTCTTTGGCCCAGCCATTCTATTCCTGAGGATATATTACAAGAATATAATTGAAAAGAAAAGAGTTACCTACTCCAGTATGTTCTGGGGATATTGTAACAGGCAAAACCTGGAAACATTTAAAATGCCCAAAATAGGGGAACAAAAGTTAAGTAAATTATATAGTATATTAACTGTAAGAAGTATTACTAATTTATTAACTCATTTGGACATTTGATTGTTCATGTATTCAACACATACTTATTAAGCCTCAACTACAAGGGGTGAAAAGAATCCCTTATTCTCAAGAAACTAAGGAAGGAAAAAAAGAGAGAGAAAGAAACTAAAAAACATTGCATTGACTGTTACAATGGATGTATTATCAGGTGCAAAAAAGAAAGGCAGGCTTAAATCTAGAAGGGTAAGGGATGATAAAAAGCATGTTTAACTATTAGTATATCATTTAATTAATTTATAAAAGTTATTACAGATAAGATGAACTTCCCCTTTGACAGCTCTCTTGATCCTAGTTTGTTTTTTCTCCCCACCCCATCTCTGCTACTCCTCCTCCCACTCACAACAGAGGAACCAGAATGGTAAGTTTTGGTGAGAAACATCCCAGAATTGTTCTGTATATTTACATATGTAGAAATATACTCAGAAAGCTATAGTGTTTAGGGGGAGGGAGAAAGGTGTTTTTTCCCTTCTTCTGTCATACTGTACAATGGGTTAGTACCAAGTGACACTGCTGAGATATGATGAAATTGTAAGCAAACATCTACCTGCTACCAACAAATGGCCCATACTGCACATAAAAGAGCTTCTCTTGGAGAAGCTGAAGGAAGTAAAGTGGGAAGATAGTAGGATCATATTCATAAGAAGAACAGAATAGGCTAGGGAGGGAAGGGACTAAGAGAAGAGATTGGTGGGGAGGCTCCTGTCATAATAAAGTAATGAGTGCTCAAATAAGGAACAAGCTAGGTCCAGATAGAGGAGCTGGTATAAATGCCATCAAATGAGAATTTAAAACCACCAGAGTTGGGGATGTAGCTCAGTGGTATAATACTTGTCTAGCATGCATGAGGCCCTGGGATCAATCTCCAGCACTGCAAAATATTTAAGTAAATAAATAAATAAATACACACATAAAAGTGGTGACTGGAAGGTCATTAGTGACCTCAGCAAAAATCATTTTAGCAGGTTTGTAATTGGCTGTTGTGATGTTTATTTAGTTGCTTAAGGACTCCAGTATGACTATTTTGTTTAGAGACTGTAATTGGGTAATTTTTAACTTTTAAATTTTCATTAGTGTAGTTAAAATTTTATGCTTACAATGAGAAGAATCTGAGAGGTACAAGATATCAGAACCTAGGCCATGCTTTTGATGTTCTATCACTATCCATCTCAAACTACTTACCTGGTACTTATCTACCATAGCTATGAGACTGTAAGTACCAGGTAGTTGATCACAAATCAGGCTTATTCTTCTGACACACACACAGCCTTCTTACCTCCCCAGATCTACTACTTTCTATCCTGACAACTGCTGGCACGCTTCTCAGATAGGCTTCTAGAGTGGGATAACCAAGCTGCTTGAAGGGGATCCAGTCTCCAGTTAAGGATCGGTACTCTCCTTGGAGCCGGGGTAATGCTATCCCGTTCTTATGAGACTGCAGAACAGCCCGCAGCATCTTTGAAACCAGATCTGCTTCCAGCATCTTCGCCTGTAAGAACACAGTAGAAAGTTACTATATCATGGTTTATTGGTATGTGATTGCAAATAGATTTTCAGAGCTGAAACTTGTTAGATTATGCCATAGAGTAGTACTGAACACTGTCTTTATGATGAGAATGAAGGGGAAAGTTGGAAAGGCACAGAGGAGGCCTGGAGAGAAGGCTTCAGATGAGAGAAGGCCTGAATAGAGTCCCCATGGTAAGATGGAATTGGCCAGACTAGGAGGAAAGGGATGGGTTGTGGGGCTGGGGAGAACAGGAAGTGCAGAGGCATGTAGGTAAGAGAGAAGGGCATGGTTGTTCTGAGAACTCCAGGCAGTTATGTGGATGGTCATAACTGAACAAAACTGAGCTGAGGGCTGAGAGAGGGTTGGAGAGGTGGGAAGGGGCAGACTTTGAAAAAGCTACATTATGCTAAGATGTTTCCATTTTGTCAAAAGTAACATGGGGCTCTGGGAGAATTTTTAATTAGGGAAAGAGAATGATCAGCTCTAATTTTTGAAAGATCACTATTCAGCAGCAGGGAAGATGAACTGGAAGGACTTCTTAGAGTTGTAAGAATACTCAGAAATGTGGAGGACCTGACAACAGGGCACAAGGAATAGCTAAAAAAAAAATCAAGTTGAGAGCTAATTAGAGGCAAACTTCACAGGAATTCATTAACTTCTTAAATGCTGAGAAAGACTTCCAAGTTTCCAGCTGAGATGGGGTGGAGGCAGGATTACAAGAGAGGAAGAGAGTGGGTTCATTTTGGACAGATGAAGGCTGGGATGCTCATAGGACAGCCATATACATATGTTTAGTAGGAACCTAGGTTAGACACTTGAGCTGAATCATACATTTGTTAGTCTTCAAAATGAATGGAGTCAAAAATAAGGTGAAGGTGGAGGGCCATCACTTAAACAATGGGGAGAGGAAAAATAACCCACAAAAGGCTGAGGAAAAAGGGACCAAAGAAAGAAAAGGAGAAGAGGCAGTGTAATGGTATCCTGTAGACGGGGGGGAGAATCAATAAGTTCAAAAGTGTCACAAGCAACAGGCAAGCTGAGTGAGAGAAAACATCAAAAGTGAATTTGGGTACCTAGGAAATTACTGGGATCTTTGGATATGCATTTTTATCTGATATTTTTCAAGGTTAACTGCTCATTAGTTTTTGGACTAATGACTACATCTAGTTTCAGATTTTCATAGAAAAAAATGAATAAAGAGATATCCAGAGAATAATGTACAAATAGCTGAGTAAAATGGCTTACTATTTTACTAGAAGAAAGAAGCAAGCAAGCCATGGACAATTTTTAAATTTACCTTCAACAGTGCTGTCCAACAGAACTTTCTGTGATGATGGAAACATTTTCTATTCAATTTTTTTGGGGGAGGGGCTGGGGTTTGAACTCAAAGCTTCACTCTTGCTAGGCAGGTACTCTACCACTTGAACTACACCCCTAGTCCTGAAATAAGTCTTTTTTTTTTTTTGGCGGTACTGGGTTTTGAACTCAGGGCCTTGTACTTGCTAGGCAGGCATTCTACCACCTAAGCCACTCCACCAGACCAACATTTTCTTTCTGTCCTGTTCAAAAAGACAGCTACTAGTGTCATGAGGTTTTGAGCACCAAAAATGTGGCCATGGTGATTGGGGAAGTAAACTTTTAATTTACATGTGGCTAGCACCTACCATATTAGACAAGCATCCTTTTCCTTTCTCTGGATTAGAAAACAGAAAGAAAGAATAACATAACAATTCTATGGATTTCTTCATCTGTCAGTTTTTAAAAGGAAACAAAATGTTAATTTGTTTAGAGTCTATTAATTATAAATATAACACTTAATTGACAGAAAGGCTTACATTGCAAATGTAAATATAAGTATTCATTATGTATTACTTTCTGCTAAACATTAACTCTTCAAATTGTTACCACTAGCACCAACATTTAATTAATACTATAGTCTAGGAAAGTCCTATACTAGGCCAATATTATTATTATTTCTACAGATAACTAGATAGATTATACACATAAAATCACACACACACATATATGAAAATTTTAATTTACACATACATAAAGTAAAATTAACTCTTAGTTTTTGTTGTTTTGTTTTATCTGAGATAAGGACTCACTATGTAACCCAGGCTGTCCTAAAATTCATGATTCTCTTGCCTCAGGCTCCTGAGTGCTGGGATTACAGGCACACATCACCATGTCTGGCTAAAATAATCTAATGTTATATGTCTGAGACTTGAAAAATATATACACCCATGTAATCATCACCACAATTGAGGTATTTCTAGCAGGAAAAGAAATGGTAGATTTAAAATGAACCATACCTAATATTTACATTAAATTTAAATAACTGAAATATCCCCCAAAAAAGCTGGAGATTTGTCAGAGTGACCATGAAAGTAAGACTTGCCTATATACTAACTTCAAGAAATCTACTTTAAGTATAAGTACATAGGTTAAAAGTAAAAATACAGAAAAAGACATGTCATGAAAATGCTATAACCATATTAACATCAGAACAAAAAATTTTACCAGGGATAAAGAGGGACATTACATAATGAATAAGGAGTTAACTTTTCATGAAGACATAATAATCCTAAGCATGGTGGCACCAAACCTGAGAGCTGAAAAAATAAATTCATGATTATGGCTAGACACTTTAAATTGATAGAACAAGTGGACAAAAAAAATCAGTAAGGGTGTAGAAGAGCTGAACACTTTTAACCAAACTGGACTAAGGGCATTCATAGCAACAAGAGCAGAACATACCTGCTTTTCAGCAATGCATAGAATATTCACCAAAACAGAATGTATTTTGTGATAAAACAATACTCAACCCATTTAAAATAACTAAAATTGTACAAAAGAATATTCTGTGACCAGAATAAAACCAAAGTAGCTATTAGGAACAAGAAGAAATGTGCACAATTACTATATATTTGCAAACATACATAGTTCTAAATAACCAATGGGTCAAAGAGGAAGGCGCCCCAAGAAAGTTTTTAAATAATGAAGACACAATATATAAAATTTTTCTGGGTTTAGTAAAAGCATTAGTTAGGAGAAAATTTGCAGCATTATATCTTAACGTCATGTCATGCTAAGAAGGAAGGTACCAAGTCAACGATGTAATCTCTCACCTTGAGAAGGAAGTAAAGATGATAGTAGTGCTCAGTACTGAAATGATGAAATAGATCAATAGTGAAATTTGAAAACCATAGAAAAAAATCATGAAAGTAATTCTTTGAAAACATCAATAAAATTGATGAAGTTGTAGGAAGATGAACCAAGGAAAAAAAGAGAAGGTATGGTTTACCATAATGGGATTGAAACAGGATTCATCAATACTGATCCTACAGATATTAAAGAGAATATTATGGATAAGTCATGCCAATAAATGAAATGAAATGGATAACTTTACTGAAAAACAAATTTCAAAGCTAACCCAAAAAGAAATAGTTAAACTGAATATCCTTTTATCTACCAGAGAAACTGGATTTATTGTTTAAAAAAAATCTTAACATAAGGAAAATTCAAAGCCCAGAATGCTTTACTGGCAAATTTTGCCAAACATTTAGAGAAGAATCAATACCACTCTTACACAAACTCTTCCATTAAACAAAGAGAACACTTATGAACTCACTCTACAAGGCCAGCATTATGCTTATACCAAAGCCAGACAAAGACATTATAAAAAATAAAGAAGTATAGACCAATATCCTTCATGAAATAAATACGAAACACTAACAAATCAAACCCAACAATAAATAGAAAGGGTAACAGGTAAGGTTTATTCTAGGAATGCAAGGTTGGCTCAATACTCATAAGTCAATAAATACAATTTACTACATGAACAAACTACATGATATCAAGATGTATGCGCGTATCAATTAGAGAAAGAAAAAGATGTGACAAAATTCAAAATCCATTTATGATGAAAAACTCTCATAAAATAAAAATAAACATTTGTGAAAACCCACAGCTAACATCATACGTAACAAGAAAACAAGCAATCCTTCAACTGAAAATTGGGAACAAGGCAAGAATGTCTATGTTCACCACTTCCATTTATTGTCACACTGGAGGTCCTAACCAACTCTGTCAGGCTGATTTCAAGACTATAAAACTGTATTAATCAAAATAGTGATAATGTCAATGGAATAAAATACATATTCCAGAAATAGATTATCCAGAATCCATATATGTCAATTAATTTTCAACAAAGGTGCTAGTGAAATTCAATGGAAAAAGTTAAATAGTACTTGTACAACTAGCCATCCATATGCAAAAAATGAACCTATACCATATATAAAATAGATAATTTAGGTCAGAAATGAAAAATCAACTACTGTAAAACTTCTGAAAAACACAGGAGTAACTCTTTGTGACCTTGAGTTAAGCAAAGATCTTTTAGACCTGCAGAAGAAAAAGGTGAAAAATTGAATCCCATTAAAACTTAAAATACCCTGGGCTGGCAGAGTGACTCAAGAGGTAAAAGCACCTGCCTAGAAAGCATGAGGCTTGACTTCAAACCCCAGTGCTGCCAAAAAAATTTTAAAAATTAAGAAATGAACAAATAGGTAAAGAAACTGTCAAAATATCCCTATTTGCAGACGACATGATCCTATACCTTAAAGACCCAAAAAACTCTACTCAGAAGCTTCTAGACATCATCAATAGCTATAGCAAGGTAGCAGGATATAAAATCAACATAGAAAAATCATTAGCATTTCTATACACTAACAATGAGCAAACGGAAAAAGAATGTATGAAAACAATTCCATTTACAATAGCCTCAAAAAAAATCAAATACCTAGGTGTAAACCTAACAAAAGATGTGAAAGACCTCTACAAGGAAAACTATACACTTCTGAAGAAAGAGATTGAGGAAGACTATAGAAAGTGGAGAGATCTCCCATGCTCATGGATTGGTAGAATCAACATAGTAAAAATGTCGATACTCCCCAAAGTAATCTACATGTTTAATGCAA